TTTTTTATGAATCGTTACTATCATCATTTATTGCAGTTGGTTCACTGCATGCTCAGTCAGTTCAGTTTGAGGTTCATAAAGGAATTGAAGATACTAATGATATACTGTCAGTAGTGGTACCTCAAGAATTAAGAGGAAGGAGTGAAGTAGTTATATTCCTAGCAGACAGACCTATTAAAGGTAATGGTATGTCACATGACTATCACATGATTGTACATGTCATCTATGTGTACATGTTCATGTGGTTTTTGTTCCAGAGGTTGTTTCTCTTGATTCTTTGTTGCTGTCTTGTTTCATTGAGCTTCATAAGCAACAGTTGATGTTAACTCCATGGGAGCAGATACTTAAATCAGCTCAAAATGTGCTCTTCAATGAAGAACTGTTTGCACAGGTATGTATAATACTGTACTATAATAATTAATGTATTTGTCTTAATTTGGTTTAGATTGTACAATCATTTGTGATCAGGAACTTGTATTATATAATGTGAAACTATAATTAACTATTTAAGAGGAAAGGTTAGAGAGATGTAACAAGGTTAATAGAATATACAAAGTTTTACTAGGTCATGACTAGTGGGTGGGTCATCGAACCTTATCGCTATACAGAAAAACCACTGACACAAGTCACGCATTTTGTGCAGGGGGTGTGGTTGTGGGTGGAGTCAAACATGGTGTACATTGAATAGGTTGATATGGGAGGAGTACCAGCAACACTGGTTGTTATTGTGTCAAGACGTCAGCCATTAGCAGTGGCATATTTATGTGATTATTTAGAAACAACTAGTTTAAATTCAAATAGAAATGGAAGAGAGAGTAGACCCAGTTTATTATCAGGTACTGATTCAACTAGTGATCTAACTATGATGTATAAAACATAATGTATTATAGTGTACAATAGGAACATGTGTATGTACTAGTATATAATGATGATATTATGAGATTTTCTACTTTCTCTTTATTTTCAAAATTTTGAATCAAATTAATCTATTAATAACAATAATAATTAATAGTCACTTAAAGTAGAGAGGAGAGAGAAAGGGGGAGGGAGAGAATTGTGTGTGTGAAAGAGAGATGGAAGGGAAAAGAGGTAGAGAATGAGAAAAAACATTATTTCATACCAAAAATTTGTAAGATTATTATAGTTTACCACAATTATCTACATGTAGTTTATTGCAGTTTTATTGAACGACTACTTTAATATTTCATTATACGCTTGTTGCTATAATCAGCAACATAAATATATCCATTCTTATCCAGTGCTCCACCCCATGGTTTTGATAATCCTGAGATTAATTTGACTTGTTTCCTGTCAGGACTCAATAAATGAAGATAGCCATTGTTACATGATACAAAGATATATCCTTCATCATCAATAGCAATACCATCAGGAGTGTTCAAGTTACCAGCTGGATTATTGTATTTATCAAGATGAGTTTTACCATCAGGAGAGAAGACTTGAACATGATGTTGATTCCAAATGGTAACGTGTATCTTTCCTTCATTATCAACTGCTACATCAGTTGCACTACCATCACATTGTATGACTTGTACAAATGTGCCATCTTCTTTAAATACTTGTACTTTTTTGTTGCCGTAATCAGCTACCAATATATTACCTTTACCATCAGTAGCCATACCAAAAGGACGAGACAATTGTCCATTTCCATTACCATAACTACCGAACTGACCAATATACTGACCAGTAGTAGCTGAGAAATACTGCACACGATTAAGATTATCATCAGACACATAGAGCCTGTCTCCTACTAGCAACACACCCCAAGGCCTGCCAAACTGTCCATTACCCTTACCTTTAGATCCAATCCTTCTTACAGCAGTACCATCCTCACTAAATACCTGAACAAATCCATCATCACTACTAGCAAATACTTCACCATTAGTATGAACAGCAACACCATAAGTATAATTCCCCACATTAAAGGATCTCTGGTTAGTTAGTGTGGTATAGTCTCTTGATGCTTTTACTGACAGTTGATAAGGACTACCTTTAATATGGTGACCTCTTATAGTCACTGATAGTTCATATCCACCAATACTTTGAGGTGTGCATGATACAATGGCTATGTTGTTATCATTAACTATAACAACTCTACCCTCCTCTTTACTACCATCACTTTTGATAAAGGAACCCTTCAAACAGCTTGCTGCTTTATCAATGCCTGCTGGTAGAGACACTTTAAATTTTCTTTCTTTCTTTACTGTTGCCAATGGAATAGCTAATGCACTATCAATGAAGTATGCATTTATACCAGAGACACTTCCAAACTCATTGATTTTTTTACTTAAAGTAGACGTATCTAGATGTATTAAAATGGCTCCTTTGTCTTCTATTTCTAGAGGTAGTTTCTTATACTCTTCAATGCATTCCTCTAGTTGATTGGTGATTAGCTTCTTAACACTAAGAACTTCACCTGGATCAGTACGCTCACTCACTGATGATGCAAGATGACGACCATGAGAAACCTGTTTTACCAGTTTACGAAACCCATTCAACTGCTTCTCGACAGAATTCCTTTTAGCACTAGCAATCTCTTCTGTCTCCATTAGTAGATCATTGCATCTCTTATCTAAAACAGCTTTCAGCTCTTCAAACGTTTCCTTGATTTCCTGCTTTACTTCTTCTTTACGTGTTGCTATCTGCTCTAGCATCTTCTCTCCATTAGCAATAGCTTCAGTTACTGGAGGAATTACTCTATCACAACTAGCAACACTTTCCTTTAATGCTTTACATGCTGTATCACCTTCATCAAGGTAATCATTGTAATTGTGACTTTTATGCTTAACGTTAAGACAAATTTGACAAACCAATTTAGTGCAATCGTTGCAATAGTATGTCAGCTTTTGGTCTAAATGTCGTGAACAATAAACTGCCTCATGCTTAATAGCAGGCAAGTCAATGGATTCCTTTGTTCCTAAATCAATTAACTTGTGATTGGCTTTTTTCTTGTTTCTCTTATGAACTTTCTTGCAAAGATCACACAGAAACTGGCCACAATCACAGCAATACACAACAGCTGCATCACTGGAATCATCAACGATACATTCATCACATGATATTGCTTTCTTGTTGACGATCCTTTTTTTGATCGAAGCCTCTTTTGATTTATGTTCAAACCAAAGGTTTTGAGTGAGGCCTTCAATTTTATCATCAGGTAAATTAACGCTAGTGTCACACGTTGGACACTTTAATGAGGTACATGTATCAGCACTACCTTGCTTCTCTTTAGCTTTTATTAGACACTTCTTACAGAATGAGTGAAGACAGGGAAGCATGAGGGGGTCAGTGTAATACTCTGAACAAACCTCACAAGTCATAGTGATAGTTGGACTTGTGTTTTCTGCCATTATCTATGAATAAAATAAATCATCACAATACCAATTGCTGGAGTATGTTACTTTTAAGAAGTATTCTTAATCAAAAAGCAAGAGAATGGGTAAAAAGGAACTGTAACGAGACAAAAGAGCTGAAAAAAGAGCATGGAGCCACTATGCAACACCACCTTAAAGTGGGATGGTTTGATCTGCCCACAACTCAAGTCACAGTCACACATGGCATCCAATGGTGATGCTGGCTTCATGGTCTCAGCGGAATCACTCCATACTACAAGAGTCAAGGAGATCAACTATGATGGAGAAGAGATATATGAAGGGTAACAGTCATTATTATAATAATACAGAATGTAATTCGTGGAATAGATGTTGATATACCCACCATTATTAATTTAGTGCAAATTTAAGTTAGGTATATTATGTATTTATTTGTAGGAGACCTTCTCTCTCTCTCAGAAACTAAGTGAATTAGTTCAACATGTTGACTTTAGAGAAGAGAGAACTGATGATGATAATGACAGAGAAGAAGGAAAGAAGAAACAAGAGGAGGAGGAGGAGGGAGTCTCTGGTCCTACAACTAGATCTATAAGAAACCAAGTCATCACTGGCCATGGGAATTCACACACTCAAAGCTTTAAGTACATAAATATTTTTATTTATATAAACAAGAGTATAAATAATGTATCAATGTATTGTATACATAAAGGATAGTTAAACTTTATTATTAGTTTTGTCTTTATTGCAGGCAAGCATTGACTGAAGTTAGTGTACTGTCTGATGTGTTACAAATTGTTCATAATCATCATCAATACTTGTCACTGGATCCAGTTTATGTTAATAAGAAATACACATTACCTCCTTCATATCTATACCAAATTAAAAAGAAGGTTAGCCTCATGACTTGTTACTTTACTCAGTTATGCATGCACAATACATGTACCTCAGTATAGAGGATTATAAAGGCATAGTATTGGCCATAGTGTGAATGTACTATTCCTTTACCTGTATTGTGTTTAATACAATTAAGTACACAGATCAATAGCAGTTCTTTTAGTGAGCTT